AGGGCTTCAAGGGGCTGCGGAGGAGACGGGGCCATCACGACAGTGCTGAGCTCCATCACCCCAGGCTGAGCTCCACTGCCCGTTAGACCCGTACAGATCCCACAGGGCGTTTTGAAGCAACGCAAAAGGCAAGCACAGGGCAGAAGATAACCCTCCTCCTGGATCACCCCAAAACACTGAAGGATTTTGTAGCAAAAGCTGCATTTTGTAGGCACTACCAGCATCTTTCCAGAGCCAGCACCACCCACGTGAGCTGCTGGGAGTCTCCAATCCCTCCGGACCAGTGTGAGAGGCAGAGCAGCCTCCTGCTCACACCTTTACACCCTCCTCATCCTCGCGATCCTTCCTCCACCCCCCGGGCGCTGCCATACCTGTGTGTCTTCTCGTGGGCTTTGCACGCCGCCGGGTCGGAGAAGGCTTTGTTGCACTCCCTGCAGGAGAAGGGCTTCTCGCCGGTGTGGATGCGGATGTGCCGCTTGAAGTTGCCGGTGTGGGTGAACTCCTTCCCACAGTCCTAGGGACGGCAGAGGCAGGCGCAGGCGGTGATGCTCGGTGCCCCCCCAGGGACTGCCCCCCGGGGGCCGCGCCGGCCTCACCTCGCACTTGTGCGTGACGGAGCCGTAGGCCTTGGACTCGGTCCGGTCGCTGTAGGTACCCGAGCGCAGCAGACGGGTCTCACCCGCGTTCTCCTGCCCGGAGTCAGTGCTTCCCGATTCGTTATCCTCGGCGTTTTCGCCGTTTTCCAAGCGGGGCTGCTCCTCCTCGGGGATTTTAGGCTTCTCTTCATCCTCTGCCGTCATCTCCCCCTCTTCCTCCTTCCCTTCCAGCTCCGTCTCTGCTGGCATTTAGACAACAAGGACGCTAGGGATCGGGAGCAGCAGCGGGGACACAAAGCCCACCTGTAATTCTTAATTTTAAGCCCGGGTTTAAGGCGATGGGGATTAGACCTGCCCGACTGTACTCAGGGAAGTCCTGCTACTTCACTCACAGGGGCCCAGACCTCTGCCTGGAGTCAGTTCGGACTGCCAGGACATTGGGCCTAAACTCCTAAAGCCTGCGTGCACAGAGGAGCATTTCCCAGCCTCCCCCAGCTCTGCCTTGTGGAAAACCGCTCCTGTGGGCTCTGCAACGCGCAGGAGACAGCGACTCCACAGCAAAACCCACGCTAACAAAACTAACTGCGTGGAAAACAAGGGCTCAACCATTGCCCAGACAACAAAATCCCCACCACCGCTCTCACTCACGAACACACCTCCCGTTTCGGCGCCTGGAGAGACGTCACCCTTTGCTGCGGGGCTGCTGCTGCTGACCACGCTCTCCGTCGGCTGCGCGTGGCTGGGAAATTCGGCACTGGGGCCCTCCTGGATGGCAACATCCACCCCTGCAAGCAACAGAGGGTCTTGAGCACGCTCAAGGCGACATCAGGCAGGGGGACAGAGAGATTTTGGGTGTCATCTCTTGGTGGCTCACCTTCTTGGCCACCCAGCTCCTCTGTCTGCGCCTCGGGCTGTGCTGCTGCGGCCACAGGCGCCTCTTCCTTCCCCTCCGGCTTGGGAGGAACTGGTTTTATGTTGTCAAGATCACCCAGAGCCTCTGCAGTCGAACTCTTCTCCTCGGCAGTTGCCTTGTCTGCCCCTGCAGGGAAGAGGCAAAGCGCTCCAGGTTTTGCTGCCTGCGCAGAGGCACCCCAACAGCTGCTGGGATTCCCAAATCCCATAAAGATTCGAGAAGCATCAGTTCCTGAACTGCTGGTGATGCTCCAGGGGATCAAACCCCATCCTGACACCCTCACACACCAGGAGATGCCCCCAGGCTGTGGGTTTGGATGGTGATGAGAGCATAGGGTGACTTCCAGCCTCCTCGGATGCAGGAAAGCGAGGAGGCTACGTACCGGTGTCAGCGGGGGGCTGCTGGCTCTCAGCGGGGCCTTCTCCAGGCGCTGCGAGGGATTTGAGAGCGTTGCAAGCGCTGACGATCTCCTGCATCTGGAGGAAACCCGCCACGGCCAGCACGTCCTCCACGTTGTCGGGGCTCAGGCTCAGCTTAGCTGTGTACATGAACTCCAGCACCTGGCCCAAGCCTGCAAGGGAGGCGACACAACCAGAAATAAGCTCTCGCCTCGCGGCCGTGCGATCTTGGAAAGCCCAAAATGCACAAAATAAGAGGCTGAAGAGCCTCCCTCAAACCCCAAACGCCAAACCGCTGCTTTCAAGTGGCTCAGAAGGACACCAGTAACTGTCCCTACCTGCTGCATTGCTGATGTTGAGGTGCACCACGTCCTTCTGGTCGACGAAAAGCATCCTGAAGTACTCGCTGCAGGCCGCCAGCACGGCTTTGTGGGCCTTGAAGTCGATGCCGTCCACCACGAAGGTGCAGTCGCACAGCAGACCCAGCTGCCGCTGCTGGTTCAGCTGCTCCAGGACCTGCTGGCTGTGCTGGGGGAAATCCATGGCTGCGGGGAGGAAAACCAACCCCAGGTGGTAGTGAGATGGGTGCTGAAAGCCCCATGTCGCATCAGAAAGGGCCACGAGACGGGACAGACCATAAAGCCATGGACCAAGCACAACCTGCCCACCCTGTCTGTTAAAAAACGTGGCCCAAAAAGCCTAATCTCAGTTCCTTGCTACAGCTGCCTGCCCCCACTCCCCACCAAGTACAACCCCAAAACCTCTCAGTAAGATCCGTAACGCCAGCAAAGGGCTGGACAGGGAGCTGATTGAACAGTTAATATATATATATTTTTGCCATCCTCACAGCATTTCAAACACATTTATTGCTCTTGAAGCGGTCCAAGCTGCTGGCAAGAACCCTGCTGTCCCCACAAACACGAGCACCATCGTCCCTTTGGTGAGCAGGCGGTGGCACCGCTCCTGCTGAGGGCACAGCATGAAAAGCCCTCACCAAAATGTGCAAGCTCCTGCACATTTTAGGCGCTCACATCATGATACTGAGGGAATTTTATTCTTTTTATGGTGTGTTTGAAGGGATTTCTCGCTGCTGGAAGCACGACTTTGGCTGAGGAAGGCTGCAAACTCCTGGAAACAAGGGGAAAGCCCATTCCAGCGTGCAGAGGCGCAGCGGGCGGAGGGAGCCTCCTCCTGTCTGCTGTGGGTGTTAGCAACACGCTGGGTGAAGCTCCTCCACCCGGGGATCAATTCGGCTTCTGAAATCATTCCCGGCAGGGATGAGGAGCCCAGACACCTCCAACAGCATCGGATCACACGTGGAGAAAGTTTCACTCCCAAAAGACACCCTTTATCTCTACGATTAACTCATCGCCATGACCTTCCCCCAGCTCTCCAAAACACAGGGTACTTTTTAACCAAACACCCACGGTCTGTCCCCAAAACACATCCCCTGAGAGGCAGAAAAATCAGTATTTGTATCAAAATCTGCCTAAACCCCTGCACGCAGATGACTCTGCAAGGTCTGCAATGGAAGCTCTGGAAAAACAGGGGAGGATTTTCCCAGCAGGACAGACAACGCTGCCTGCCGTGCTCGGAAAGCTCTGCGCAGCGGAGAAATCACGAGGGTTTGATGCACTGAAAGGCTATATTCGGTGATTTGTAGGAGGCACTTTGCATCTGAATGACGATTTGTATCACTCCCTGATTGGACTCGCCTCAGCGAAGGCGGCAAAATCCCAAGAAACCCAACTCCTCTTGAAAAACTTCATCTTTTTGGCAGTTTCCTTCGTAACGCAGTGTTTCAGCTTCATCGGAGCACGCAGGGCAGAGGCTGGGACGAGCTGCCCATTGCCCTCAGCGCTCAAGATCCCTCAGATCACCTTCATACACTAAAATCCCTGAGTCCAGCCCTAAAAATCCCAAATATCTGGATCAAAAAACCCACGACACACCCAAAACGCCACCCTGGTCCCTTGCCACGGCTTGGGCAGGGCCAGTTTGCGGCTCCGGCACTGAGATCCATCTCCTTCCCCGACCGAGTGGGATGTGCCAACATCAGGATGGATCCAGGGAGGGCAAATGCCAAATCAGGCACCACTGGTCCACCCGACAGCTGCATAAATTAGCCCTCATCAGCACAAACCCATCGCTGTTGGCTGTTTAAGGTGGCGGTGCCATCTGAGGATGCACATCCGAGCTCCTCGCCCAGAAACCGAAGAGGAGCCCGGATGGACTCACCCCCGCGCTGCGAGGAGCAGAGGGATCCGGAGGAGCGGGGCTGCAGGCGAGGTGGTTGTGGCTCTGCTCTGTGTGCTCTGGAGTCTTCCCCCTTGCCGGTGCTCAAGTCAGTCTCTGTGCAGCCATCCTGGGAGAAACGGGACAGAAAGCTGCGTTTGAAAACCCAAACCTCGTCAGTCGAAGGCACCGCGGGATTGGGCGACCCGGGTTGGGCACCCCTCGGTTTCACCTCATTTCCCCTCCTGACATCTCCCTGATGTGGCTGCCGAGTCTCTCATTACCCGACTAATCACAGAAAAGCTTCGTTATGAGAACGCCCACGCCCACCGCACACGCTCGCAGAGAGAACTACAGCAGTGACAGTCCCAGGGAGCTTCCCACACGAGCTCCGCTAAGCTCTCTCGTTTATTAACGACATCAACCTCTCCCTGTACCCACCACCCAGTGCCTATTAAAAAACCCCCGAAACCTCAATACATTGGAAAAAAAATAGGCCTTTCAACCCTGTCACCATCCAGCCGCCCGCTCTTACGTTCAGGAGCTAAAAAGGAGCAGGGGGGTCACTTTGCCTACCGTCATCTCCTGTCTCGTGTGTCAGCTCGGGGAACAAAGTGGCTCTGATCCTTTCAGTCTCTGCGAAGAGGAGTCTGTCCTCATTGCCAGGAACTGATCCTGCAACGTTTTCAGTAAAAAAACCATGAAGTTAAGAGCCAATCGAGGTACAGGTGAGCTATTAATACAAGTTAGTGTGCTGCAGGGGTTCCGTGCCAGCCCATATCCGCACAGCTGCAGGTTACTGCGTGTTTCAGCCTTCTTGCTGATCGCTGAACAACAAGGAGTTTAAACGGAGCTGCCTCTTCAGATGACCCACAGCTTTTTAAAACAAGTTTCCAGGTTAAAATAATTTAAAAACAGCCCCTGGACACAGTACAGAGAAGTGAATGAAACAGAGGAGGGCTCTGAAGCACGCGGCTGGCAGTGAAAGAGGAAGGTAAGCTTGCATCCAGCGATAAGGGGGAAAAATAACCACAAGCGATGACAGGCAGGAAAAAAACGTGGTGAAAAGGAACTAAAAGGAGAAAGACACGAGGAGGGAGATGAGCAGAGCCGCTCTGGCCCCCCCCGCAGTGAACAGCCACCCCGCAGACCCCTCGGTTATTCAGTTTTCGGGCCCACGGACGCGCTGGCGCAGCTCCTGGCACAGTGGTGCAGGCAGGGCTGCAGGCAGGGCTGCCCACGGGTCACCGGAGCCCTGGGCTGCAGGCAGGCAGGGGGCCAGCGGGGCCGCCCAGACATCGCCAGGCCTCCAGCTGTGCCCTGGAAAGCGCCCAGATGATGAACTGCAAAACCTTCATCTTCTTGCAAAAACCCTGCCTCTGGGACGTGGCCTGACGGCTGGAATTTTGGCAGATGCTTCCGATGCAGAAATGCAGTTAAGGAAATGCAGCTTCATCCGTGAAACGTGTCACCCGTGCCTGAGGAGCAGCGCCCGCAGCTGTCACCACGCCAGAAGAAGACACCAGAAGATGAAAACCCTTTTTTTCTCTTGAGTTACTGCAGGATGCTTTGAAGTTTTCTGTGCTCTTCTGCTGGCGACGTCCTTGAGGCGCAGTCGGGCAGCTCCGGCAGTGCCAGGGGACTGGCCTGGCCCAGTGCTGGCTGTGTCCCCTGCAGGTGTCCACTGTGTCCCCAG